CAATCCCAAAACATCTGGAGTACCACTTGAAGACCATCGGCATTGACAAAATCACCATCAGCCAATCACGAAAGGCAGCTTTACTTGGAACAGCTTACATCCTGCAACGATACCTTTAACTCCATCAAACAACAACATCTGCCCATACCAGGTCCTTGGGAAGGACTCAATAGGTGGATAAAAATGCCAAATCCAGTCTAAACATCTGGCTGACTGTGTGATCAATAATAATAACTGGCAGCAGCGGTCCCAGTGGTTATTGGCAAACAGGGTGCCAAACCAAAAAGCCTTAGAAAATCTGTGCATTGACAAAATTTCCATCTGTCAATTACAAAAGGCCACGCTGCTTAGATCCGCACATATGCTATGCCGATACATTACGACATCCTAGGTTCTCAGGAAGAACTCAGTGTGAATGAAGGCCAACACCACCAATGAAGGCAGCCGTGATTTCACATTGTTGTGTATACAACAACAACAACAACAACAATAAAGATTGATCTGCTGAACCTTTGGAAGGAAGGCTCCCTTTCTAACTGGAAGTTTAATTGACAGAAGACCATTTGTAGAAATTGAAATGCAGCATTAAGGAAGTGACAGGGTGGTGATGAATGTGGAATTCAGCTCTGGTCAGAAGCTGCAGCTTGAAATGAAAACAAAAAGGTTTCTGGGTAAGTGTATGTTCATTGTCAATATCAGGAAAACATGTTAGGAATGGGTCATAAAGAAAGTCGCAATCAGTTTTTTTTGTTTTTAATTTTAAAATACAAACTACAAAACATAAAACCAGTAATAACAAAAACGTAAAATAATTCAATGAAACAACCAAAATAAAACACATATAACTTAATCTCTATGGGCACCCTGTGGGATTTATAATCCTCCTCATCTCTTTACTTTTTGTTATCATGGATTTTTATTATTAATAATTTTTAATAAGCCCTCCTCTGCAAAAGAATGATATATATTGATCTTTACTCCCTTCCCTTTAACAAAAACATATTCCAGAAATTCACCCCCTATAACATCAGAATCATTCCTTTTCGCCAGACCCTTTTTATATTTTACTTCACGTCAATTTATCATGAATAGCAATATTCCATATTTCTTTAAACCAATCTTGAAGCTCATACTCAAAATCCACTTTCCATTTTTAACTATTATCAATCTTAAAGCAGTAACAAAAATTATTATCATCTCTTTCTTTTGCCATTCTAGTTTCATGTTTCCAAAATTTAACAGTAATGCAATTTTTGGACTTATTTGCAAGTTAATAGATAATATTTCATTAATCTCAACAAAAACCTTTTCCCATTTTTTTTTAATCTTTTCACATTCCCACCATAAATGCAAATAAGTCCCAATTTCTTTTTTACACCTCCAACAATTTTTAAAATTACTTCTGTTATAATAGCTTAAAGTTACA